TGTGTGTGTGTGTGTGTGTGTGTGTGTGTGTGTGTGTGTGTGTGTGTGTGTGTGTGTGTGTGTGTGTGTGTGTGTGAGAGTTAGATTGTTCTTCCTGATTGAATTTTTGGCACCTTTTTTTTCCAGGACCCATGCAAGATCTTTATCCTACTAGTTGCAATATTGCTTATTTTACAAACCAGTAATTTTAGTAAAAAGTATTTACACAACTGTATATATTAGCTTGGCTTTCATATACTAGTTTTATTTTCTTTGTAAATGTCATCCATCCCTATCATTACATAAAATGTCTGAGTATGATATATCTGAGCATGGGTTAGTAAGTTGTTTGGAATAATGTTTTGTTTCCTTTGCTTTGTCTTGCTTCTGTGTTTAAAATGAAGCTAATTATTAATTGTATTTTTCATGCATTATCTTAGGGTGCTAAAAGTGAAACATAGGGCTCTGTCCTCTTAAGACAGCATCCAGTCCTGCAACAAGTTACCTGTGGAAACTGGCCTTGGTCTGGATCTGGTGGGAGTCCCAGAAATGACCGTGCTAGCCTTCATCCGACATCCATTGCCAATACAGACTCCCTGCTGCTGGAACTTGGCGGTGTGTACCGTGGTTTCATCTGCAGACTTGGGTCGGTAATCAAACACGCTGAGCCTTGTTTTAGGCTGCTGAGCACCGGGCAACAGACTGGTGTGGGATGAGGATATGGACTCGCTGTATACAGATGTACAAGAGTTGGACAGCGAGCAGGAGCCACCATCACTCAGGTCATAAAAGCCTGTAGAATTAAAATAAATAGGAAAATCTTTCTGATTTACCATGATTTAACAGGCTGAATAGGAACAGTACAGTAAAATCAAGTCAGTTCTGAGACTGCTGCAACCACTGGAGCACCTTAGATGCACCCTCTTTTGCTCCACCCTGCGTTTGGATATCGTTGTTGTAGATCTGCACCTCGACCCATCTGGTATGAGGTTAGTTAACTTGCTTTGTATCATTGGTGATTCCTCATGCAAAGTGACTTGATGGAGCCCATCTCCTTTCCAGGTAGGATGGCTGTTGCCTCACAGGGAGCTCATCCCCCCCCTTTGATGTCTTGTTTTTAGTCCTGCTGGGTATCCACACACCTTCCTCACCCAGGCTAGCTCAGGTGGGGGCACCAATTTATTTGCCAACGACCCAACTATGGAATAGACTGTACTGGTTTATATGTTATGAGATAGCAGACCAAGAGAGGCCTGGTGTGACAGGTAGGACAGTGCAGCAAATAAATTAAATCCCTTTTGCCACAGAAGCATATTTACAATTGCTTGGGTTTTGCATATTTCTGAGACATAACTCTCATAAATGTGCTATAATTTAACCAGAGATTACTGGGAGTGGTAGAGTTCACTCAGGCCTCAAACAAGCATTACATGCAAACACATTTAACTCTATACCATTAGGATTACTTGCACGCTGAATATGAGAATGAGAGACGATCTATTTTGAAAATATGGCCATATGTCCCAAAGTAGCAGCCTAAGTTTTCAGAAGGGACTAGTGATTATGGAAAGCTCAAGTTTTGGGTGCCCACATCAGACATCTTCAAAATAGGTTGATTTTTAGGGAGCGGGTGCTCAGTATTTCCTGAAAAACACGTCCCTTTAAGGTGTCTCTAATTTAAAAATTGTAGGCACCCAAAAATCCCTGGGCAGTTTTGGAAACACTTGCTAGCTTTTGTATTAAAAAGAAGAAATTAAGATTGACCTGATGTCTCAACTGGTCGCATCTGATGATACTACCGGGGACACTGGGAGGCATGTTTCTCTTGAACTATGATCCCTTAAGTACTAGGGGTTGTGGTCAAAGCAAGAGTAGCATGATTAGCTCCTATGGATACATTGTTTGTGGCTTCACTCTTGACACACTAGGACATGGTACAGTACAGAGCAGCATTATAGCTCAAGAGTAAGCATTCTTGGATAGATGGTTCAATTATTATCAGTGGCCGTGTCCAGACGAATGCGGCTGTGATTTATGTGGTGCCGCAGACTCATCTGTGGTGCCACATACTGCACATTCAACTGTTCAGGCTGCAAGGGAGCAGTGTTGGGGTGGGAGTGGGGGGACTGACTTGGCCATCCAGGGGTCAAAAAAACCTGTGCAAAAAAAAAAGCGGAGGTGCACATGGGGGCAACATGTGCACCTCAGAACTGGAGCCCAGCCAGCCAGAGCCATACTCCCACTGCCAGCCAGCTTCCAAGTGGCAGGATCACTGCTGCTGCAGCCCCAGGAGGCCTCTAGGACCCCAGGTAAGGCTGCTCAGGCTAGTACAGTGCTAGCCCCATCCTCCTCTACTTCACCTGGAGTAACCTGCCATGCACCAGAGGGTGTGTGGCACAGGCGTTCCTTAGGGACAGCTAGCAGCAGTACAAGATATGCCACTGCTAGCTGTCCCTGGGGAACCAAATGTCCATGCTCGTGTGATGATGGTATCCTAGGATGATAGGCTGGATAAGAATATTATTGGCTCCAGCTTAAAACTTTAGGCCTTAGATCAGTGGATTGCAGACCTTTTTGGCCATGTACCCCTTTACCTGAAAAATATTGCTGCTCATATTCCCTATACCTGATGTGTCTCTGGTCGTTCCTTTCTCAGGAAGAGAATTGACACTGATGTCAATACACGGCAGCACCATTATTCACTGTACATTGACCAATCAGAAGCTTCATTGCCATTATTAAAATTTAGGCACATACCCTTTGGCAAAGTGCCACATACCCCTGGCATGTGTACCTCAGTTTGAAAACCACTGCCTTAGAGGACAAAGAAAAAACAGAACTCTATGGCACCTATGTCAAATAGGCAGCAGTTTGAGAGAGTCTGTGTGAAGGGATGATAGTAAAAGAAGCTGTTTTCCTTTGCACTGTGCGTATGCTTCCAACCACATAACTCTTCAACTTAAGCATTCCAGGAAGCTGTCAACTTGTACAGTCAATATACACCACAAGTGCCATGCTGCCAAATTATGTATGAGAAAAGCAAAAATTGCACACCTAGGAAAAAGAGTCCTAATTGTGTCTGAAGAGGGAGTGAATGGCAGAGAAGTGTCTAACTTCTGCTCAGCTCTTACACAGCACTATAAAAAAGTATTATTTGCAAGTATTTTCAATAGATATGTAGAGATGGACGGGAAGAGGTTGTTCTTATCTCATGAAAGTTTTCAACAAAATGCTTCTTTTATATCAGGAGAAAAACTAGAATTTTCCTGAAAGAGGAGACTCTCACCCAGCCCAGCAATTGTAGTGCATACAGGGAAGGAAAAGGACCAAGGAACACATAATCGGTTTGCCTGAGTCCAATCAGGGACTTGAACCTCAGGCTCTCACACCCCAAGTATGTGATCTAACCAGTGGCCAATCTGGACTCTAACTGACCCCTTGACCTTTTTTTAATAACAATTATTCATTGGGCCAGAAAATGTAACTGCCTTATCTCAGTGTCTGTGGTACTCAAACTGGATTTTTGAGATGGCACTTCAAAGCCCTAGACTAAATTCTGTAGACTAGGAATTTGAATCTTGATTTTCTACATCTCTGCTAAGTGTTTTAGGCAGCTAATGGTTATTCTTGAATGGATGAGGCCATTCATTTTCTTCCATCTAACTTTTTGAACAGAATATTCATCTTTGTCAAAACAATAACTGGAGTCCAATGGAAAGCTGTGGTTTTGGTGATTTGGTATTTTCTGATGAAAAAATAATATCCTTGAAAAATCCCTGATCATCTTTCTGAATATAAACTAAAATATTCCAGTATTTTCCACATCACACCAGCAATATCATCTTCACTTAGTTAATAAACCAAGTTTCTTTCAGCAGTTCATATTCACACAAGTTCCACTAGATCTACAGAGTCCTGAGAACAAATGATCAAAAATATGTTACCTGAGCTGGGACGGCTGTCACTGTCCAGATACTCGCTGGAGGTCTTACTAACATCCAGCTTCAGTTCACTGATTTGCTGGTCCAGCTGATCCAGGTGACTTTTCAAGCCAACATCCTGTCTCCTTAAACGAGACTGTTCACAGGTTGTGGAAGGAGGAAATAAAGAAAAGTCATAATTAGGATCTCAGGGACGGCAAATTCTACACTCCTGGGGTTAAGCTACCACTTAAAGCTTTGCATTGTTAAGGACTGCAAAAATTGGTTGCATGCAATTAGCCAAAATCTAGCAGAGGTGTTAAGCACAGTACTTAGCACAACCTAAGTGTTCTGCCTGTCTAAACATTTTCCCTGTATTTTTGCAAAGAAGTTAGTTTTCTTTTTCCCTTCTGGAAAACACTGGGCCTTATCCAACTTCCAGTGAAATTAAAGGGATTTTTTCCACTGGGGTTGGATTCAGTCCATTGTGAAATAATTCTGGCCCCAAGCTATTATGACATTTGGTACATTTCAGTATAGGCTGTGTTGTAAGGGGGGGGAGTGGAGGGGGAGAGAAGGGGGACAAAGGGATGCACTTTAGGACCTTTCCTAATTTAAAAAATCAACTGTAAACTTCATAGATTTCATAGACCTTAGGGCTGGAAGGGACCTCGGAAGATCATCAAGTCCAGTCCCCCGCCCAAAGGGCAGGAAGTCAGCTGGGGTCATAGGATCCCAGCAAGATAAGCATCCAATTTGCTCTTGAAGGTGTTCAGTGTAGGTGCTTGAACCACTTCCGATGGCAGGCTATTCCAGGCCTTGGGGGCTTGGACAGTAAAGAAATTCTTCCTTATGTCTAGCCTGAAACGGTCTTGCAGTAGTTTATAACCATTTGACCTCGTCATCCCTTGGGGCGCTCTGGTGAACAAATGTTCCCCCAGATCCTGCTGGTCACCCCTGATAAACTTATAGATGGCCATCAGATCACCCCTGAGCCTGCGCTTTTCCAGGCTAAAGAGCCCCATGGCTCTCAGCCTGTCATCCTAAGGTCTGTTTTCCTGACCTCTGATCATGCTCTTCTCTGGACTCTCTCAAGCTTCTCCACATTCTTTTTGAATTGTGGAGCCCAAAACTGGACACAGTACTCCAGCTGCGGCCTCACCAAGGCCAAGTACAATGGGAGAATGACATCCCGGGATCTGCTTGAGAAGCATCTATGGATGCAAGCCAGCGTTTTGGTCACTTTACTAGCTGCAGCATCGCATTGCAGGCTCATGTTCATCTTGTGGTCAATGATGACCCCCAAGTCGCTTTCTTCTGTAGTGCTAGCCAGCGTAGCACTGCCAAGCCTATAAGGATGCTGCAGGTTTTTCTTCCCAAGGTGGAGAACCTGGCATTTTTCGGTGTTAAAACCATCAGGTTCTCACCCACCCATTTGCTGAGCCTGTCCAGGTCAGCCTGGATCACCCGCCTGTTTTCTGGTGTGGATGCTTTACCCCAAAGTTTGGTGTCATTGGAGAACTTGGCTAGTCCGCTTCTAACTCCAATGTCCACATCATTAATGAAGACTTATATAATTGTCAGACAAAGCACAATAGGCATATTTGGTTTTCTTGCAAAACTCAAAATGTTGATGGATTTATTTGTAGCTGAATAGGTATATTGCATGGACTGTATCTTTTCTGCTTTACTAAAAGTCTTCTTTGTATAGCTCATGATTGGCTCTCTCTGTAAGTTTTATGCAGGGAAAACAGTGTTTTAACTCTTCTGCAATAATTCCTATATTTAAAAAAATGGTGGATCAAGCTAGAAAGTGACCCTTGAAAGGAAGCACCTTCTTAATCAGCAAGGGCCTCATCCTACTTCCACTTCAATCAATCACCAGATGGATTTTGACTTCAGTAAGAAAAAAATGTGGGCCGTTAAGTTGCGCTGTTTTTTTTCTGTATATTTGCAGCATAAATAACAAGTGTGCTACACACACATGTGATTTAAAGCACCATGAAAAGGGTCTACATATAATGTAGAATATTTTCATTGCTGATTTGTATGGCACCTTAAATTGAATATGTACCAGGTCAGGGCTAGGATTGACAATCGTGTGATGGTTGGCCCAGCCAGGGTCTGCACTAGGGTTTTGAACTGGCCACAGCATGGTCTCTGGTAGGAGCAGAACTGAAAAAATCAACTGGTTGTTGGCCCCAGCCAAAGCCAGCAATCAGCTGATTGTTGGCTTGGGTCTGGACCACTGGAGTGGTTTGAGACTCTGGCACAGTCTCTGGCTCTGGACTTGTGGGCAGTCAGCTTTCAACTCGTCAGGGCAGGAGGACCCCAGGATTATGATCCTGGGCTACCCCTGCACTGGTAAGTAGGAAGAATGTGATTGGGATTTTATCCCAGATCCCAAACTCATGGCTGCCATGCATGTGTGGTATAGCAGGAGGCACAATTATTGGGACTGGGGATCAGATTTCATTGCACCTTTAACTGAATGTGTGCCAGGGGCCTTAGATTTGATTCTCTGCTCTGACACAGGTTTCTTAGGTGTAGTTTTTCACTTAGGCCTATATCTATAAAGTTGATTATGCCCCTAACTACTGTTTAGATGTCCAACTCCCATTGAAACCAATGGGAATTAGGGATCTAAATATCTCTGTGGATGAGTGGCTTTGTGCCTTAATGTCCCATCTACTTAAATGGTAACATTAGTACTTCCCCAATTTGCACACGTGTTGTGAAGATCAACATATTAAAAGTGTGTGATGTGCTTAGATGCTATGGAAATGCACTGTTTAGGCACTTTAGGGAGGTAAGTTTAACTACTAAAATATACTTTTACTCTATTTTATTCCTTTAAGTCCTGCAGAGCCAAAACAGCTGTGCCATGCAGGTCAGTAAGCTGGCTTATGTGTCATCAACAGAACCATTAACTATGCTCTCATGAAGAACATTAATTGCTGCTACTGCAAGCCAGAAAAAGGTTTGATTTGATTTTCAAGTACGTCTAGTTTGACATTTTTATACTTACTTCTCAGAGTTACCTCAGCAATCCCCAACCCACAGCTTGCAGGCAAAATTACCTCCCCATGTTGCCTATAGGCATAGGAGTTTAAAGAGTGAAAACTAAGTTTGACTAGAAATGTCAAAGCATGATGCTCCTCAAATAATGTTATTTGCTTGGTATGGTTCCTCGTGGTCTAACCATTTGGGGAGGGGATCCTGTCTAATGGCACTTCATGACTGCTTTATTGAAGGAAAGGACTAACAACAACTGCTGCTTATCCAGCGGAGACCTTGACACTTACAATGAATGAATACATCCATAATAAATATAATAATAAATAAATACTGAAAACTTTCGCAGTGGGAAGTCCCACCAAAGTTAGCTGGAATACTATGTTCAGAGTCCTTGAAGGACCAGGTTCTCAGTGAAAGTGAAAACAATAGTTCTAGGCTTTTTCTTCTTGTATAATACATGCTTTAAAACATGTGTTAGTGCTCCAGGTGCTAGTCCACCCAAAATGTTCGAAATTCATGTATAGGCCTCCAGACTAATGAATTGAGCTAAAAATAATAAGAAAAGCAAGGATTTTTGTGGTTGATATATTTGATTGGACTAATTGTGTGGTTGAGAGAGATTCAGACAAGCTTTCACATCTATCCCAATCATGCAATTGGTCCAATGAAAGATATCACCCACTCACAAAAATCCTTGCCTCACATATTTTTGGATCACTAACATTACTTCAACATTACCACAAAAATAATGTGATTAAAAATATATATTCAAACATGTTGGATTATTTTTGTTTGCCTTCTAGTTTTGAACCTTTAGGATTCTTCTTTCCAGGATTTTTCCTAACCAAAAGCTTAAAAGCTAACACTTAACCAAACGAGCTTATGATTTTTATTCTTCCCTTTGAAAAATAAAACCAAAGACAAGACCCAAATAGTAAATCTCTGTTTTCTCTCTCTGCATAATTAATATGTTACCTTTTCTGTTTGTCTTTATTTCCTCCGTATTGTTTTGAAGAAACAAAAATATATTGTGCCTACTTCAGTCCCACCTAGTCAGGAAATCACAAAGTTTTGTTTCCATGGCTAGAATTAATTGCTTAATGATTAATGTTTTGCCAGCCAGTCCCCTCAGTCTGTGGTTTCTGATTAATGGCAGGGAGGCCAGAAAATGTTCAACAAGGCTCTCAGGTATTCAAAGATTATTTATTACACCTCCAGGATCTGACTGTGCTTTCACAAGGCTTCAACCAACATACTTGATTTACATCATCCTTGTTAACCCCTTCTAATTTCCCCCACCATGGGGTTCTTCTTGTTACTGGGAGACTTCACACCTTTTATTATGTTCCTTAAACCAGTCAGCTAATTAGGGGCTGCTGTTTTCTTTCTTTCTTTCTATTTTTTAAAAAATGTACCAAGTAGCACACACAACAATAACATCTAAATGTACTATTTCTCCAGTAACAAAATTTATCTTTTTTCCAAGAAGGAACCCTGTAGGAGAAACTGTCTATTGTCTTTAAGCAGTGCAGATATGAAATCTGCTGCATGCTGTACAATGAAGAGGCGCTGTACAATGAAGAGGCACTGTGCATGCTTGCATGGAGAACTTAGGGAAAGATTTTCAAAGCCAACCAGTGTTTTCGTGGATTCTGTTTTTGGTGGTCCAACAATGCTCACATTTCAGAGGGCAGGTCCTTGGAAATCGCTTCCCCGTTGGTTCAAGTGGGCACCATAAATAGATGCGCTAAGAATCAAGAGTCAATTTTGGAAGCCTTACCCAACAATTGTTCCCTTAGTGCTTAATCTTACTACTTTGAAGTCAATAGAAGCTTTAGCTTCTGTGGGTCTAAACTAGACCCTAACATTTTATCTAACTTCACTTGGTGTTTGTACGTGTTTAATACATTTTTTTAAAAGTACCCCTCTCCTTCCCATATAAAAGTAGAGACAATGGAATTCTGCAGTACACATACTCTGCTAACAGCCAAGAAACTGGAAACATTTCTTACTGACATCTTGGTGTACAGCTATCATTTGATAATGTCCTTGGAAGTATATAGTGCAAAATAATTGCACAACCTGGCCTATTGTATTGATTTGATTTACACAGTTAAGAATATTTGGCTATGTTCATTC